AGTAGTAGTAGTAGTAGTAGTTCCAATATAGTCCTCGCAGAAGCAGGCCACATAAGGTTTTGTGGATGGTCGTTTGAGGCTTCGTTGGTTGTAGATTGGCATGTGGTAGACGATTTGGGTTTGTTGTACGTCGAATGTTGAGCAGAACATGCTGGTCCATGGTGGCTAGCAATATATGGCAGCGACCCCTTGAGGGGCCAATAGCAATGATAGCTTTTTCCGCAACCTACACAAAGGATGATGCTTTGAAGCCGAAGACCTGGATATTGAGAGTAGTAGGAGTGTAGCGGAGGTCCAGCCGGCAGATGGCCAAGACGAGTCCCTCCCACGTGCAATGACGTGTCCAGATCTCAGCACAAGCCCTTGAACAGGGGCCGGATGGGGCCGGGCAGAGCTTCTGGCTCAGCTCGCGAGGCTTCGCAGAATCCGAGCTATTTTGTACCCTTCTTGTGCTTTCAGGGTGAAGGGTTTGGTGTGGACAGATGTGGGTCGCAGAATGTCTTCTGAAGTTCTGGCCAAGAAAAGTCTGCCACCAGATGCCTGCAGCAGAAGATGCTTCCAGCGTACAATCTCAAAGTCGAATCCTGATTATCTGGCAAAACAGCCCGCTGTAGAGGTCACTCAACAAACGTACCGAAGCAATCTGTGGCTTGACGAAGCTTGAAGTTACTTCTTGTAAGGCTCTAGGCTCTTGATCGTTGCTCCTTCCATCGGTACCGACAGTGTTTTAGAATTACCTGTGCCATTGGTCCATTGGTCTCCGGGAAAGCGTCAGTTTTGTAGTATAGTAGAAGATTCACACAGAACGCCGATCACGTTTTGCTTGTGGAATGGCAGTGGGCAGATGGCGGGCAATTCAGCAGACCCGAGCCGGAGGCACTCAAAGACGTGTGCCACGGACATGGCCCAAGTAGGCGAAGACATGGCAAACATCACCGTAGACTGCCTCTCGCGGAAGCTGCGCGCCACCGTGAGAGTCCGGGAGTTTGACAACTCTGGGCCCATCTTTGCGGAACACCGTATCCAAGTCGAATGCGCCCAGGACCTGTTGCCACTGATAGAGGGAACGCGCGAGCGGTACTTGATGCGCCTAAGATGTGCAGAGCTGGTTGAAGAAGCCGCTGGCGATGTGGAGAATGTCTCGGCTGAAGAGCGAAGGCATCTTGCAGGCTGGCTGGCTCGAAAGCTACAGCCGCAGTTTGCCTTTCCGATTGAAGTTACAACCGACAGTGCATCACACCATGGGAAGGTCTTGGCCCGCTATGCCGGGACCGAGCTTCAGCCAGCTAGGGACTGGCAGCGCCATTACACGACCTTTCACATAGATCACAAGCAAAACGCAGCCAGCTTGGAGGAAGGAGTTCAGGTCAATGTTTGGCTTAACCTGATGGATGAGCCAATCTCAGACTTTGCATTGGGTTTCTTGGAGCTGGATGGCCGAATGATGGCGGGAAACGAGCTTCCTTTCCTGACCCAACAGGAGGCTGAGCAGTTGATAGTGCGCTACAAATCCGGTTTGGCAAAGGATCAGGCATTGATTTTTCAATCCACCGGAGCTGATTCTGTGGTGCATGGGAGCTTTCGCTTCCAAGACGCAGAGAAGCTGACACGTGCTCCGAGGTACTCGCTAGAGTTTCGGCTTTTGCTAAGAAAGTTCGAGTCTCGCGAGGAAGTTCCAGTCCGGGATGCTGCCAGCACATAGACGCACCTGAGTTTATTGGTTGATCATCTGTTCGGTGTCGCCCTCCGCGATTGCTGCACAAATGAAGCTGCAAGAAGACCTTTGGCTTTGTGAGATTCCCAGCAGGAGCATGGCATAGCATGGCTCTGAAGGCGCCCGTGCACTGTGCGTCGCCAACCGTTGCGGGAGCCAGCACGACAAGATTCTGACAAGATATGACCAGAGCAGGAGGCGGCAAATCCATCAAGTTTGTGCTGTGGCGACGTCCAGCCGGCACCAACTGATGTTCAGAGGTCGTGCAGCGGAAAATTTGCTACATTCAGGGTTTTTGGAAGCCTGTGTTCAGTGTTGCACGGGTTGCAACCAACTTCCCTAGGGCCAGGGTTTGGGGCGAGTTTGGTGGCGGGCGGACGCTCAAGGCCAGATGCACGCAGGCTCAAGGTCTGGGTTGATGTTACGCGCCCTTGCCTAGCGAGACCCTCGAGGATGACACGGCAACGAGAGAGTGAGAGAGATCCTCAAGACCTCTGCTTGCTTCACTGAGAGCCGTTGTCGTGGTGAAGAGATGCCCTTACCTCTCCAGCAGATGTGTTGTCATGATTGAAACTCCAGTGAGCTAAGAACAGGTCCACGTGCATGCATATGGACTCTTCAGCACGCGAAACCAACAATCATTTCCAAACAGAGAGTGTAGACGTGTTGCACTACACAAAACGAACCGAGCACCACTCAGGTGCCAACATGCTGCAGATGCCCCGCTACTCTTCAAAGGACTGTTTGTGCAAGCAACTCCGAAAGGCCGGTCATGCCGGGTAAGTATGATCCACGCACGTTTGCACCTTACATGTGCGTGCGTGTGTGTGTGTGTGTGCAATGAGCCAACGCAAGTTTCTTTGATGCATCGTCGTGAGTGCTCAATGTTTTTGTGATGGACGTGCGGATGTGTCCATGTGCTTCATGTCCTCCAATTTGAATGCATTTAGATGCGGGTGAAAGATAGATGTGTGCCATGCTCGGTTATGTGCTTTCATATCTCCCTCGTCCTCTCCAATGATGCATATTCTGGCAGGCGGACAACGGAGGGGAATTAGTATTCAAGCCGTATGCAGCAGCAGCAGCAGTAGTGCAGAGGCGGTGGTTGTGCAGTCGGAGTCACTGGCAAGGTCGTCGTTGTAGTAATAACAGTAGCTGCCTGGTGCTGTGCCAACCAGCCATGCCAGCAGTCACAGCAAGCCGCCTTTTTTTGTTGTGAGCGCTTCGTTGCTATGATTTGCTATGGGTGCTTGATTCCCGGCGGGGAGCAATTCAGTAAGGCTCCGGCACACGCCCGCAGCAACAAAAGGTGCCCGTGCAGGTGCGCCTGCAGCCGAAAACACATGCCCTCGGACGTGGCCGGCGGTTCGGCGGCTCACGCATATTTTCTGAACCACAGTGCCGTGCTCATTTTTGCTTGCCGCGAACCTGGGATCCCTGAAGCCCTCGCACGGCCAAACTACCCGACTCCTGGAAATCCCTCACGAAACTGCGCGAGGCCAGATGAACAAATCCTGCATATATATATATATATATGGCATGAAAGGCTGAAGGTGGGTGCACAGTCTGTGCACAGATTGGGACTGACTTAGTGTGAATACGTCTTCGTGTGTAAGGCTTGCTTTGTACGATCCCCTGTATCTGTGACTACGGTAAGACTGGTGCTGTGTTGCTGCTGCTTCTTTTGCATACAGCATTCTGAGCCGTGGAACGTCTGCAAATCTTGCAACACGCAGCGAAAGGTCCTATTGCTGCAAATACAACATAAAGCATTCGGAGCTCTGGCAGACCACTGGAAAAGGCTGCGAATATTGCAAATCGGAAGTCCCACAAGTCCCGACAGAAACCGTGGATGTTGACGCCATGCAGAGGCTGGATCTACTGCACATATAGGCGTGTTTGCCCACCCGCCAGCTGACAATATCGCACGGAGAAAGTTCTGGGCTGCTGTTGAATTGAAAGGTGGGATTTATCTTGAAAAATGCTGCATTCAAAGCTCTCGAGCCGCGGTGATTGCGGCCGGCTGCGGTTCTCTATGTACGGGCAGCCGAAATCCTACACCGCATGCGACCCGACCACCCGGTTTCGGAAAGACGCAATTCCTCATCCACTCGATGGCAAGATGTACGGTACAGAAGGCTGCAAATGTTGGAAAAAATGCGGGGTTCATGGTGGCAATTTGAAGTTTAAACTTTTCAAGTGAGACAGGATGAAGAGACAAGTGGTAGAGTTGGGGACGCCCCCCGCCCATCCCGCATTTGTAAGCATGCAGTTTCGAAACAAGTCCTGTTGATGTGGCGTGGCGTGGTGTGCTCTAGAGCCAGCTTCCAGCGCAGAGCGTAAACAGCGAAAGGGGTGCAGCAAGAGTCTATAACGTCCCAAGATGTCGAGAGCAAGCAGTTATGCAAGTCATAGCCACAATGTGCCGAGTGCACGGCGGTGTGATGGGAGCATGGGGGAAACCATGCGCACCCCAGAATGCACAAGGCCGTGAAGCAAGAGCGAACTTTGCAACATTGCTAGACGCCAAAAGGCTACTAGGCAGTGAAACAGGATGAACAGGAGCACAGGTTCGACGTCCGCGAAATTGCTCGCTCTCTCTCTCTCTCTCTCTCTCTCTCTCTCTCTGTCTCTCTCTCTCTCTCTTGCCTCTTTCTCATGCCCCCTTTCTCTTTCTCTTTCTGTCCTGTCCTCCTCTCGGTCTGTGAGGGCTTGGATCCGGAACATATGTCGCACTATTCGGATTGATGCATGTCTGCACCTGGGGAGACAGGCACAGGCATTCGCAGATTGCATCGGCATGCAGCATGCATTTTCGATGAGTTGCTTGAATCTTGATTTGAACCTGCAGTGAGTTCAGGCGACCGAGCTCTGTGATGGCTTTCAGATTCTCTAGACCAGTCGGCTGAATTGCCGTTGAATGTGCATACTTGTCGGGCTTCTGAAAGGCACGTTGGGGGTTTCAGGATCATGAGGTTCCAGCCGCGGATGCGTGCAGAGAGCGACAGGCTTCGGCTCCTTGTTGACTCGACTCTTTCCGTGTAGACGTGCAGTCAGAAGCCCGGGACTTCTGGTCAGGGAATGGGAGTGGACCCAGTGATGATTTAAAACAGGTCTTAATGGCCTTACTGGCTTCCACAGAAACGTGTAATACAGAGCTGCTTGCATCGAGTGTTACGGTCTGGATCTGTTTCGCAATGGCTGAGGTGGAGGCCAAGTAGAGAGACGGATGTAGCGAGCCTTGCGTTTGAGGAGTCTGCAGTGGCCAAAGTCTTTCAGAAACGATCTGCGGTTCTGCTACGAGCCCCTGACAGCCCCTGGACCCTCGCTTTGGCTAGAGCTCCGGAAAACAAGTGCGAGGGCTCCCGGGCTGACCCTCACAGTAACACTGCAACTTAAGAGCGAACATTGGCAGGTGTTGAGAGTGTAAGCCCAGGGGAAGCAGTAGTTCTCCAGCTGTGTCTTGCTACTTCCATCCACCGGGGCAGCGATGTCTTGACAGCGTTTGTGTTTGCTGCATGGCTCAAAACTGTCGCCAACGATGCGTGGAGATGGAGATGTGGGGAAGCCACGAGGCAGGATTGGTTGTAGCTAGATAGCTAGAGGCCCCCAAGATCCCGAATGTATATCGCTTCGCCGATGATCCTTCGCTGTCAGCCCGGAGTCTCAAAGTCCATAATTCCGAGGCGAAAACCTCGATGGGTCTGCACAGGTCACGCTGGCACGAACTTCCTCAGTCTCCCAACGTGCACTTTTCGACGACCTGCCACGCACGAACGTAGAAACATCCGCAGGGATCGCAAACCAAAGGCTAACTATACTAACTAAGACAGCCCTTCTTTTTGGGGCATGTCTGGCCTGCTCGGTCTGCCGGCCAGATGATGCCCCGCTTTGCCACGAAAACCTCAAGCAGCAAGGACAGGTAGAATCGGGAAGATCTGGCAGCTGATGCCATGCTGACCCCCAAATGGGGTGGCACCCTATACACAGAACGGGTCGTGCAATTTTAGCGCATCCTGCCACTTCGCAACCGTGTCGTCGTACAGTCATGAGCACGAACAATTGTAGCCCGACACATGTGAGCAAGACTAGTTAGCCAGAATCCAAGTGTAGAAAGAAAGGGAAGCGAGAGGTGGGCGCGTAAAGCTGCACACACAGTCTTTTGTTGACTATTGCATTTGTGGGTTATGGTTTGATTGAAAGGCGTCTGAAATACCGCATCGGCGAGGCCACCAACATCGAGGCGGAATGGGCTTGATTCGGCTGGATGCTGCAAGACTGCAAGGAATGCCAAAAGGTGTCGGTACCAGTTACTTTCGAACTTGGACTTGTGCCATCTGGCTGTGGGTAACCTCGAGGATGATGCGATGCTGGCCCGCGAGACCGTCGAGAACGAAGCAGGGCCCCGTACAAAGCAATGGAGGGGTATTTGGTTGGTTTCGTCACCGTTTGGATGCCATCGTTTCAAGGACAGACCGCAATGCACCGATTCAGGTTAGTTGCCATGCAGGCGTCGAAGGCAAGATGGATCCATGCCGAGAGCGAAATCTATCCTTTGCTACTGCGCAGATTCCTGTTCCATGTGTTCAGCAACATGTTTGGCTAAACTCTTGTTCACACTTGTCTGCAAGAGGCTGGGGATCACATTGTCTTGCGAAAAGCAAACAATAGCTACTAGTAGAACCTAGTGTAGAACCTTGTACTCCATAGTTTGCGGGGAAGTACCTAACTCAGCGGCAATTTCCTGCGGACCCACCAAGGAGCTCTTCGCAGCAGCCGGCCCCGAACTTAGTAAGATTTCCGTCAGCGAGGCTCCCAATCCGCCCTTCGTGCCCCTTCTGGACAGAAGCAGTGTTGAGACATATGTATGTATGTATGTATGTATGTAGCAGCGTAGCTAGCAGAGCGGAATCCTGGCGGAGCAGCATAGGTTGAGGCAGGCGAAAGATGC